ACCTGTTGTCAAATATAAAATTCCGACATTCACAGTTTCGAATGAAAGGGGTCAGTCTCCATCTCTTGAATAAGCGAATGGCACATAAAAGGAGAAAATGGAGACCAAAATGTTTACAAAGCTCAAACTGTCATAATTTCCAGAGGACGGCGTGACCATTAGCCTGATTTTGTGCCTTAAGGACTCAGCCTCATCCCCTGTTTCTTTCATTGAGATATTCTAAGGAGTACAAATGCAGATTAGGGTTAAATAGCTAAATATAAAATAGTTGGTTTCGTTTAATTTGAATTTTTGATGTCCGCTATATTTGACCCTACAATATCATTTAAATCGTGCGTCAAACTCGATGCCTCCTTAGTATTGTTGCATTTACATAAGCACCACTCATACATACAAGGGACGTTTCTACGCACGACCGTGATTCTTGGGTCTTGGTGTAAATGTTTTAATCAATGTATGTATTAATGTATTAAGCAAAGGAAAATATAGATAATAGTTTTTGATAAATGATTTCTGTTCGTTGTGACTATTGCGAAACAGTTGCTAAAACATCTGCATTGTTTTCATTTTTCACTTTTTTGTAGGACTTTGTCATTAATAAAATTAGAAGTATTTCGACAGAAAGGTGGCATTTAGGATTAAACGACAAAGCTGTGATAGGTCATTGGGTATGGATGGACGGAACCCCCTATACTTCCAGTGCCAGGTACGTCTCTATGTATGCTTATACTAATAGTATATTGGACGGCAGATATAATGAAATCTGATACTGATTTCTTTAACGCAGAGTATACTATAACTAGTAATAAAGCTTTCTCGGCGTCACTTTTGTGGTATAATTCCCATAGTACATAAATGTGCACAGAATGGCCAGAGAAATTCCTGTGAGCATCTTCTTCAAAATTTTTGTGACCCTGGTAATCACGTACCAAAATTTCTTTTACCTGATCAACAGTAGACGTCGTGAGTTTTACACTGTCTTGGCGGGTTTGGCTTTGGAATTCCAACGGATATATGGAACAAATATTGAATTGGTGAATTCATTTAGTCACTTGTGGCTTCTTTCTTTCTTTCTTTCTTTTGTATTTATCATTATCTGTTATTATTGCTTTTTTAATCACCAGTGATTGGGAATCCAACGAACCGGACAATATCCCTGTTGAAGATTGTGTAACGCTGCATTTCTCCGGTTCTACCCCGCGTTACGCAGACGTCGGTTGTAATGGTCCATTAGCGCGCTGGGTGTGTGAGCAGGCGGAAGGTACAGTGCTTATATATTGTATAGAAACCTTAATTGACACCGCTGTGTGGTTGTAACGCAAGAAAACTGCAGTCATTCGTTCATCTTTATATAACAGTGTTATTGTGTTAGGTCCTGAATTCTTGGTTCATCGCGTTAGTTTCGTTAACTTTAAAATGCTGTTGATTTTTAAGTTTGTTGGCGCGCTGTTGTATGTATGTGGACATAAACTGAGGCAGCGGGTGTATTTCCCCATTTACAGCTGGGAATCTTTGGGCACTGTTATCTACTTTGGAAAGCACAATACAGTGAATGCAGGGTCGCGTTGGTTTTCTGGCTGAAAAATTCATGTGATTTGTTCCTATTTGCACTGTTAACAATGTACGTTCCTGGGTTTTGTTAAGAAAGCAGATATATTGCAATTTGCGCGTGTGCTTGCCTATAGTGTGATAATGTTGACATCTGTTTATGTAGTTTAGACAAGAGTCTAGCGGTATAAGATACCCTTGTATAATCATCAAATGGCCGTATAGCCTGTCATTTACTCCCAAAGGATATTGTGCAAATCCCGGGGAATCTGACAACGCTGTGTTCAACGACAGTGGGTTGAGTCTCTACAGGTATTTTAAGAAAGACAAAACCATTACCTACCGGTGCAAGAGTGGATATGTTCTTTATGATGGTCACTTGCAAAGACAATGCGTGGATTCGCTGTGGACTAATCCTCCACCAAAATGTATAGGTGAGTGAAAATCTTAAATGTGATGACAGATGTACGAAATTAATATATGCCCCCCTGTGCTCTCTTTAGAGATTAAGATACCCGACAAAACATACTTTGATCCCAATTTTGATGCTTTTTCTTTGATATCCAATGTAAGTAAAACACCGTACTCAAATGCTTTTACCAAGTTAATTTAATTCGGTGTCTCCTCTGAAATTTATTACACAGTGCATCTCGCATAATAAATCTATGAGCGCAATCTCTAATTTCGATGTTTTAATATTATGAAGTTCATATTTTTATAGCATATTTTGTGACCGTCATCTGATGGTAATCCATAATAAGATCGCTTAAAAAGGGATGCAAAACACAAACACACACACACACAAACACACGTATTGAATTTGAAGTACAGACATCGTATTCGTCTCTGATCGATGTTATTTAACATATGGTTTAATGCGGGATTAGGTAAAACTGTCATCTATACATTAGGATCGATTGAGCCCGTTCTTTTCAGCATGAACTGTACAGTTGTATCTTTTGTCACATCAAGGCAACGATACAACGCAGTCTTTGGGCGGTGTAAATAATTCACATTTATTCGACCTATCTGCAGTCTTTGAACTGTCATGTTACAACACGATCCGTTGAGTGGTGTGAATAATTAACGTTTCTTGTCGTTACGGAGACATGTAATGATCTGTCTGAGCAGTGATCAATTGCAAGGTAAAGATGTGGATGACGTTTTAGGTCGTTGATATATGCTCTAACTTTAAGGCGCAGGTTGTAGAAATTAATCAATTTTTTTCAGAAATTAATTTTCTACTCAACGTATTTGTAATCTCTGATTTATTTGTTTTGTTTTTATCAGCTGTTTGTGGTGACCCTTCGGTTGGTGTGATAAACGCAGCGCTGACCAGATTACCAAGAGGTCTCTTGCTCGCTGGAACAAACGTAAGTCGATACGGGAGGTCCTCAACTTACGACGGAGTTCCGCTCCTTCACTGTACAACGCGCGGTAAAGCAAGACCCTTTGTATATCGACATCCACTTGTCACTCACTTGTCCTACTGCTAGGGAACAAAGTAGTAAATTCATAGACTGTGAAAAAACACTTTTCGGCGACAAGAAAAAAGCAGAAGTAGGACTGAAGTAGAAATGTCGCAATCAGCAACTAGCGCCCAACCATAGGTGTTAGCTTATTTACGCCGCACGGTGCATGTAGCTGTAACGCTCCATTTATACCGAACTTTTGACCGCTTGGGGGAGGACGAATTTTGGTCCTCTCTCTCACCACTGGTGGCACACAGTGTTTCATCCTCATACTAGGTTGTCTGATTGTCAAAACTATTTTTTTTGTTGTTGTTGATGTTGATAGGGGTGGGGGTAGTATACAGAAGTGTATGTTTTGCCAAGCTGAGCTTTTTCGGTGGTTTACACAGCTTACGCACTCCTGTAATACCCATCTGACGAGTAACAAGTATGTGTCCTTTGGCATTTTGAGAAAAACCAAAATGCCCACCATTTGCCATATAAATTATGTAACCTGTTCATGTGCCTTGGTTTCGACTTCTGCCAGGGAGATGAAGTGTCCATTATCAGGTATCAAGTTACCAAGTTAAACTAAGATACTTTCTCGGTATTTTTCCCATCTGTTATACTCCTGATATGCAGAGTTTATGTGGCCAAAGGCGAGAGAAAACCGATGGTGTTAGCCAAGAGGCCGCAAGCACGATGTAAACGGGGTTTAGGTTGAATATGCCAGGTTGCTGTAAACACAAATTATTGACGGATACTGAAAGTGGCCGAAACTCGTGAGATTTAAATAATGTCGTGATCGTAGCGGTCGTGGAAAAGTCTCAGTCGGGCGTAAACATAGCTTAATCGAAAAAAAAAACTAAGGAAAGATGGCGTATTAGTTTATGGGAGACACGTTCGTACGCCATAAACACGGAGCGCAATAATGTAGAAACCGTCGTAACTCAAGACCTTTCTGTGCCAGTTCATAACAAACATGCTTTGTTTAATGTTTTAACAAAACAGAAGAAGATAAACCTAGCACTCAACTTACGATGTAATGAGGCATCAGCATTACTGATCGCAATGGAATTCAGTATTATGTGCATCTTTTTCTCTTCTGTGATATCACACTACTAAATAAATCATAACATCCATTCTCTTAATCTTTTCGAGCATTTTTCTTGCTATAAACCTTGTCCTAATTCTTGTAAACTATTCATTATTTATGCAGTAAAAGTTAAACTATATATCAAGCACATACCGTATGAACATAAATAGCCATCCATGCTTCATTGATTTAATGGTATGTATTTCTGTGTTAACAGGTTACTTTTGAATGCGTGACACCTGCTGTTTTGATCAGGGGTCACTTGTTCAGGACTTGTAACGATAGCGGCCAGTGGACTGGACTTCCTGCTATTTGTCAGGGTACATATAATTATACATATATATGGTTTAAGAAATGCTAATTAATTGCATCTTATTGGGGCAGCTGCTACAAGCGCTGTGTTGAAAATGCAATTGAACCAAAATGGTTATTTTGCAAATACTTAAGCCTATACATATTTATCATGCTTGGTATTAATTTTTTTGTGCAAAAGAAAAAAAACAACAAATGTGGATGTCATATTACACCCACGCTGTTGAAGCGCGATTTCTTCTAACCTGGACAATGCTTCCATAGTAGATTTGTTCTTTCCACTAAGATGCGATTGTTAAACACCGAAAAACGTTCATTCATATGTGTTATGTGCAATCAGTAGTGTACCTTGTTGCAAAGTAATTTGGCACCTACCGTATGGCGTAGAATACTTGTCATTGACCAACAGAGGTCTGTCCGATATTGTCTTTCAGCACCGTGTTCAACCCCACCAGATGGGCTTAACGTCCACCACAATGGTACCAATTCATCGACGTATCCGCACGGTACTGCGGTCCATTATGCCTGCAACAACGACGCGTACCACGTTGGCGATGACTCCAGTGACTTTTGCAAGTACTGTGATAACGGGACGTGGTCAGGGGGCGTTCCTTTTTGTGAAAGTGAGTGAATTATTTTTGGCTATGTTGCAAATGCACATCTTGTAAATGTTCCATAGTGTCAGAGAAGCTCGTAAAATCTGAGAAATACTCTTCTCAATGTCAGTGGTAATCACCGAAACTAACTTTCGAAACAATTTCCAGATGTATCCAAATAGAGGTCACCGAGTTACGGTACACAATGTAACGAAATGTCCGAATAGGCTGGAGTAAACCAGGAAAGTGACCATGAACGTGACGACGTCCAAGTTTTGGCGGTTATTTAATTGGCCTGGTGTCAGTATACCGAAGTCCTTTACAAAAGGAATGAAATGTGTTCCACTACGTCAATTTACCGCCTGCAATTCTAAGTGCACGATTTTACCACTCGGTCATTTATATAAACTCTCGTTGCCGATCTGTCAATTTGTTTTATAAGAACTATCTGCATTGTAAAGTGTACCTATAGATTTCTCTGTTGGCGTTGTGCAAAAACACAAACTTGAAACTGAGTCATTCAGTTATCTGATATCGGAAACCCGTAAAACATTTTATCGCTGTCCAGCAGCTATGTAGCATAGGTATTTAATGCTTGACCAATTACCAATCCATAATTTGGAATAAATTTCTTTTCAGTGCATCGCGTGATTCACTTAGTGATGATACTCCTATTGCTTTATCATCATGTGATATTTGTTTGAAACAGTGGGTGACTTCGATCTCATTTGAATTCAACTGGGGAATCTAGGCTTATTGACGCCATTTCATTTATGCCAAGGTCTTTTTGAAAATGAATATAGGCTCAGTTTTGCACTGTTTCTGTCTCATTGAGCATTTTGATTTCTTTACACGTGGTCAATATCACATAAAACAATATTGAGCAAGAAAAGAAGGTGAATATATATCATTCTTATGGACGTGAATGACTTTTTTCTGTTGTTGTTGCTGTGAATTGAAGAGTAAAAGGTATGACAGGCGACAAATAGTATGTTGTCAGAACTAATAATCTTATTTATATTACGCAGTTAATATTCTTTGCAAGCTTTTTCACAAAAGATCAATGAAAGATTTGGAGATACCCTTGAACCGAAGCGAAATGAAAGATTCATTCCTTTATTTTCGGTTGAAGTCAAACAAAATCAAGGATAATGTAGATATATTCCTGCTACCATTTCGTTGATGAATCAGTCATTAAACATTCAATTTCATATCCATTTCCAGTGAAATAAGATTAAGCGAACAATTTGAAAAAAAAAACGTGAAAGACCGGACCAAAAGCTACTGGCACATGTAAAAAAAGGCATGGAACATGTATCTTTAATAATTTTGCAGGACGTCCTTATATCACTCTGTATTTGCAGCCATTCCTAGCTGCCCATTGGAACTGTGGTGAATGATGATCAAAACATGGATTAATTCACCGTTATCTCTTCATTCCAGAAACGTGTGATCTTAGATTGAATTCGGGCGTATCGTCACACACTGTAGTCGAGACCGAAACCATGGTCTCGTGGACTCTGGTCACTGGGTGCGGGCAGGTCACCAATACGTTTGCACTGGAAAACGGAACATCGGTGTTGAGCGGCATGTCGGTGAGAAACGAGTGTAATGGAACAGCTCGCCCATCTTCTGGTGACATCTATCGGACGTGTCACAATGGATCATGGACGGGTTCTCCACTTAATTGCTCGAGTAGGTATAGAGACTTAGAGCTCATTCCCAATGAAGCTGTTGTTCCACGTAGATCGATCCAACTCTGCCGGGACTCGCGCTGAATGCAATCAGATAGAATCATTAAACACGCCTCTTTTTGTTTCCAACGCACTCGTATAATCCCCAGCTTTTTTATATTCTACTCAAAGAGGAGGTGCTTAAATATGTTAAACTGATCGCATTTGAAGCAAGAATCCGTGCGGAATTGGATCGATCCTCGTAGAACGATAGTTGCATTGGGAATGAGCCCTTATCCATATATTCCTTAAATATCGTCACTTAGCATATCTCCATCAACTAACTTGAGTATTTTGACTCTTGAAGCCGATACTTAATGTGATGAAATTTGTTGATTTTGCCGTTAAGTAAAGCCACACCTATTACATGATAAGTGTGTGATTCATTCTTATCATTCGTTTGGCCAAAACAAACCAATCATTATTTATTTGTTGTTGGTATTTATGTTGTATATTCGGTTTTCTCTATCCTTATTATGTTATAATTATATACCTATGCCCCCATCCCCCATCCGAGTCATTTTTTAACATTTGCCAGGCTATAAAATTATAAAGTACAGTCTATCAGGGATAAAGCGTATACAGGGTGGTCCATAACAATCGACCCATTATACTTTCCATCTCAATTTCGGTTCTTTTTTATGAATTAAATTTTTCAGACTGCTCTCCACCAGAAAATGGAACAAATACTATATTATATGCAGATTGGCTGTATATGGATAGCCAACAAGAAGACTATGGCGGAGGGATAGTGCCAGAGGGCGTTACTGCCTCGTATCGTTGTTTAGAGGGGTATTTTCTTTCGAGCGGTGATGCCTGCAGACGTTGCGAAAGAGGGTATTGGACGGGAAACCCACCCGCTTGTCATAGTGAGTAGCTTCCAGTGCGTGTTGGCGTGGGTGCTGGGATGATCATGTTGTATACATGTACTTGTATTTTCGAATATACAGATATTCAGTTTCCGATGCCTTTATCTAGCTGGCATATATATCAAGTGATCTAAAGAGCTTAAAATTGTAACTTCCCAATCACTAGTTACCATATATTCACATTCTATTTTCATATTATTGTATTCTGCTTTTATATTCCATTTTAAAGATATTGATTACAGATAGCATATGTTGTAGTCATGCGGTAGCACTGCTGTTTTCACGCGGATTTAACAAATTTCCTGTATTTTTTTTCCAATATTACAATTTTCCGCATGACCCACCGATATACCCCGCAATCCAAGCGTTACCGCGGTGTGTTTCCCCACATATTTATGTGTACCCATTACCTATATTATTGTACTGCTACTTCACCATCATAACACTTCAGGAGCCTGCCTGCCACCGGAACCGGGCACAAACGTTGTCATGAATAACATCCTTCAGAATTTCTCCATGCTGCTCGATGGATGTAATTCAGCGGTTTGGGTAGGCGGAAGTTATCCCCATGAAACGGTTCTTCGTTACCAGTGTAGCCAAGGGCGAGCACATTCAGCGGGAACATTGAACAGAACGTGTGAGAATGGCCTGTGGAGTGGGCATGCGCCTTCTTGTCAAGGTAGTTCAGCTTCATAAAAAAGACATTTGATATATGGAAATTTAAAAAATATCGTTGTCTGTATGTTCCTGAACGTTAAAACCCTTTGATTTTGGGTTTTGTCTGACCTAGAATTTAGACTTATAATTTATAATTATTATTCATATATCTTTACCAGTCTGCAACACGTATTTTCTGAGCGGAGATTTCCTGGCCTGTACTTACAAGGAACTACACGGCCTTTACACCAATATTATGATCGCGTAGTAGAGCCAGGCATAAGTTCGCCGCCACGGTTTCGGCAGCGGGATCGCTCCAATGTGTACCTCATGACTGTGGAAGGAGTATGGTACATCAAAAATGTAGACGACGTTTCAGACGTGGTGCTCAAGAAATCCCAGAATACAAGTGACCCCCCAATAGAGCCGGGTTGGTTTCACAATATCCCTAACTTCGGCTTGGCCTGGGTGTATGACGCTTCTGTCAGACTAGAATGCATCCCAGGTAAAGAAACGCGAAAGCATCGTTGGTCTTGTAACTAACAATTTTGTTTTAGCTTTCTTCAGTTCTGTCTTTATATATACTTCTTAACTATCTTTTCATTCACCGACATTAAGAAATATTTTCCCATATCGCTCGGGTGACAGTGTATTATCTCATACTTAAACTAAATCAGATTTTTACTGTAGCCTTATGTATTACTGGTAGGCATAAAGTACCAATGCACATGGATATATGGTGTAATTATAATTTAAGGTACTTGTATCCATACGTATGAGTATCCTGGGAGGCCCAGGGTTGTATCAAACGGGACCACCACTGAATATTCCTGCCTTCCTGGGTATCATCTGTTTGGTGGGAACACAATCAACACGTGCTTAGGAGGGGAATTTACAGGGACAACTCCGGTTTGTAAAGGTGGGGAAGGAATTTAAAAGACATTGCGAGGATTTTTTTAAGCATTGGTGGTCTCCTCAAAGTCGACCTGGTAAAATTTTCAATTGAAATTCCGAACTCCTAAATCGTGTTGATTTTTATTATGAAAACAAAAGAAAGAAATATTTTATGTTACTTTTTAGTGTAATATGTGACGTCATGTAATTGGGCAATGACTCTCGTAAAAGCGTTGCATTAATTTGAGTTTTTCAGTTATATATATAAACACAGATGTTTTACAGTATGGAAACCATTCCCCGCATTTCTATTAATATCATAACGATCAGACTCATATTCCAGAATGCTGCAGTGCCCCGAGGAATGTGACCACATCGTCTTTGGCTCTCGTCAATACTGCCGTACCTGCAGGTATGGGTTGTATGCCTAATACAGATACCTCTATGGCCAGTGGAACACTTTATCCATCTGGTTCGATGGCAATATACACGTGTTGGCCAGGTTTGGTCCTGCAAGAAGGAAACTCCAGCAGGACCTGTCACAATGGTACCTGGTCAGGAGCAGAAGCAGTTTGTGGTGGTAAGGCATTTTTTTCAATTGTTAGTAAATAATATGGTTTTGATTGTCACGGTTACTGGTCGATGTAATATTTATTTGCATATTTCTTGGGTATTTCATGTCATGTGTCTACCAAAACATCATTAAAATAAGTCAATGAAACAATTCAACATAGCCAACAATACAACATATGGAAGGGACAGGTAAATTGTTTTTATCATCTTCCCAAAACGGGTATATATAAGGGTTCTCCGCCCGGCTAGGCTATTTCCAAAAGGCAGACAAGTCACACCTGAGCTTTACTACGCAATTCTTTCATTTTCACTTATTCGCCAAAATTGTAGTGGGGAGGAAAGCAAAGAATTTACTTCTCTTTTTCTTCATACGAATTTTATTCTTTGCATTTGATAAGGCTGTACGACCTTTGTTTTGCAGTGCCTCGCTGCTCATTACTTCCGCTAGTGGAGCACGCAAATTTGACAGTGTTCCGGCCTATCCATGACGATGACAACAGCACCGATTTCTTCATAAACGGAACCGAGGCTCACTATTCCTGCCACACTGGGTATTACCGCACCAGCGGAAATACCTATAGGAAGTGTGAAAATGGCTATTGGACAGGGATATCACCCACGTGCAGCGGTACGAGAAATTGAAATGCTTTGTATGTTTGCGTGCATTTGCGTAGCTTTGACAAGACGGGTTTATATGATTGATAAAGCCCCCTTTACACTGGACGGCGTCCTTTCTGCGTCCAGCAGTACGGCCCCATTTGAAAGTTAAAAAATTATAATACTTTACGTGCCGACAACTGGCCGATCATTGAGCATTCATTCTGATACAAAATCAATGCTCGTGCCTCCTTATTAAGACCACAGCGATGCCAAATTTCATGGTCGCAGAAAGGACGCAGAAAGGACGCCGTTCAGTGTAAAGGGGGTATAACATAAGTAAAACTTCTTGTTTTGAGTGTCCCAATTACCGACGGTGTTCTGTCGCATTTCACTTTGTCGTCCCTGTTTCAGATCGCTGTGTTATCCCACCTCCTGGGAAGAATGTAGAGTACGAATACGACGAGTCTCCTATAAACGGGAGCGTCCCCATCGACACTACAGCTTATGGCACCTGTCTACCTGGCCATAATCTTGACTCTGGGCAGTTGTGTCGCAAATGTGAGGCGGCCTCATGGTCAGGGGCGCGGCCGATCTGTGCAAGTACGCCATTGGTTTCCTATCAGTTGTTAAATGGATACTATATGGGTATTTTTACTTTAATGTTAACTTCGACGTTGACGTACGTAATTCAGATATACATTGCTTTGGAACTTGCCTGCCTCATCTTACTTCAACCTACATTGTGCCTAGTCAAATACCCTGTGCTATGGTTTAATAAATCCCATATGAATTACTACAAAATATGCAAGGTGACTATTGGTATGCTATTAATAGTCTCATTATTACGATTAGATTAGGATCGATCGTAACGTTCAGTGTTTTATTGATCATCATCTTTCAATTAAGGGCACTGCGGCGCTTTGGGTCCTGTACCCCACGCTAACTTGTGGTTTGTTAGTCCTTTTGGCCGGTTTACCTGCGGCAGCAGCTTTAATCAAAGACCAGACAACGGCGAACATCTAAGCGGGACCCAAGTAACGTACACATGCCAAGATGGTTACACATATCAAAACGGGTCTCTTACTAGGACCTGTTACAATGGCGCGTGGTCAGGAACACCGCTTGAATGTAGAGGTACAGAAAGTAGCGGAGTTATATTTCAGTGAATAATTTATTTTATTATATATATATATATATATATATATATATATATATATAGTGTAGTTTTTATTTGAACTTTTTGTCAGTTGACCCCATGGTGGTACTTTTTGATTCACTTTAATTGTTAACAATACACTTAAATACGACTAACACAATTAGATTTGCATTTTAATTTAGAATATCGAAATACCAAAGACAATATTTGATTTAAGAAAAGAGAATTGTAAGAACATGACACTTCGAAAATGTTGCATGATATTACTAGAATGAATGTTCATAAGGGGAAGACACATAGTCTTTTATTCAAGGTCTAGAATCATGTTCCTTTAAGAGTAGTAAATATAGAATATTATTTTCCAGGTGAACCGCCACCAGCAACCACCACTGATACTGGGGCAAACACGTCAACGTCGGATCACACCTTGGTAACCACGCCACTTACGGACCAAGCCTCGGCAATTACAACAACATCAACATCAGCTTTGGAAACCACACCCGTATCACTGAGCTCTACATTATCCACACAAAACATATCAACGGATCCCAGGACACAAACCGGTGGTCGAACAACAGGCACAAATCTGGCATTAACATCAGACGTCCAGACAACTGAACATGTCACTGTCACTCTTCCACCTAATTGTTTACTGTCTCATCTCGGGGGTAATGAGATAGTAATACAGGGTGTGACACACGGAAATGCTGCGAACGTAGTTGACATAATTTACACGTGCAATACAGGCTTTCGGTTCCCGGACCTGTCAGCGCAGAAAACGAGCAAATGCTTCAACGGTGATTGGCTGAACAATGTGCCCTGTGAGGGTGAGTGTATGGTCCTGTTGAATATCTGGTGTTTCTAAATCCACACTTTCTATTTAAACTTGCAAAGAAAAGGTTAACATTTATGATAAAAATAATACGTCAGTTTCAGTTTCATTTACTAATACATCGACGTCTAGCAGTAAGAGCAAACACGCAATTGCACAAACATAAGAACTTCGGTTTGGTAATTTAAAGGTCCATAGCTATTATATCAAACAGTAGATAACGTGATCAACAAAATGCATGCACAAGATTTATACACCGTGCCATCTTTTGCGGTGGCCCTACGAGCACCTATGGAAATACTACTAAATATGACCTTAACATGCATAAGGTATTATTCACGAATTGATTTCATTTTTTCTGTCACTCTCTGTCTCTCTCTCCAGTTGTGACTTGCCCGGTTCTGGCCGTCCCTCAGTATGCAAGTATCGATAACAGTAACGTAACATATAGGTCCATGGTAAAGATAACATGTCAGCTAGGATACTGGTTTGATGATGGTTTCAATGAACTGATTACCACATGTACTCAGAATGGGAGCTGGAACATTACCAATGTGCCTCTGTGTAAAAGTAAGGAACAAATTTGCGCTTTGTACAAAATATGATAGCTGCAGTGTTCGTCTCCCCCATCTGTAATATAAATTCGAAGAAGAATCTGTGATTTCATGCATGAGTATTTTTCCCAAATAAATATGTTTATTCAGCTTAATGCAGAAATCTGTTATTTGAACAAGATTGATTGATGAACGAATGCAATCTTTCTTTTTCAAAGTTGAAACGACTAAAAATTGAAAATATTCCAGTTGCGGTGTGCCCTCCTCCTTTAGAAAAAGTAACGAGCCAACTAGTGACGAATAACTTTACTACATACGTGTACAATATGACTGTGGATTACATTTGTGTAAACGACAGCTTCTTCGTAGATAGCAGCACTGTCCGAAGATCACGTTGCAATGCTTATGGAATGTGGTCTCTTAAGTATATACCAGATTGTTCAAGTGAGTATTGCAATAAAATTGATAGAAATCACTTAATTCAAATCACTTTGTTTCGCCATGTCTTCATTTAATGTTCTTTAATATACAGGTAGTATTTATGCTGATGCTTTGGTTTTCATGCACTTGCATATTTGGGTATCAGGACAATTCCCCCCGGACAATTCCCCCCGGACTATTCCCCCCGGACAATTCCCTCCCGGACAATTCCCCCCAAGGACGATTTCCCCCCGAAGAATATATATATTTATATACAGATATAAAGTAAAGAATACAAAGTTCAAAGTTCTTTTCATCCATTTTTGAATATTTCTTAGTGTGATGATGCAAATCAAGGATAGATAATGTTAATTCTATTGAACAATTTATTTTCTTGGAGTTCAAGTACATGAAATTTTCGAGATAGAAGTACAGAACATTTTTTTTTTAAATCTGATCAAGGAATATATATCTCCAGGTAAAGGAGGGGTAAACAGATGATCTCACTCATCCAGGTAGCCCTTTGATGAATTAACTGTTACTTTTAATTGCTTTATTTCTCCCCCCCCCCCTTGATTCAGTAAGTCTTGAATCAAGGTGCATCTCTAGGGAGAGGTGGGGTAAACAGATTTTCTCGCTTATCCAGGTATCCCTGTGACTATTTGTCACTTTTAATTGCTNATTTTCTTGGAGTACAAGTACATTAAATTTTCGAGATAGAAGTACAGAACATTTTATTAAAAATCTGATCAAAGAATATGTATCTCCAGGTAAAGGAGGGGTAAACAGATGATCTCACTCATCCAGGTAGCCCTTTGATGAATTAACTGTTACTTTTAATTGCTTTATTTCTCCCCCCCCCCCTTGATTCAGTAAGTCTTGAATAAAGGTGCATCTCTAGGGAGAGGTGGGGTAAACAGATTTTCTCGCTTATCCAGGTATCCCTGTGACTATTTGTAACTTTTAATTGCTTGACCACCACCCACCACACTAAAATATTTATAAAATATCTTTTACCTGTTCATCTGTTTACCCCACTTTTACCTGAAGGATAGGTGGTTATACTTCGATTAGATACTTAATAAATCTTCCTGTACTTGTACTCAACGAAAAGGGAATTTGTCATAAAATAATTTGTTTCATGATGATGTTATATTATCACACTAAAAATGTTAATAAAATAGATGAAATGTTTAAAACTTTACACTTTCTACTTTATATTTGTATATTAATATATATTTCTTGGGGGGGAATCGTCCGGGGGGGGGGAAATTTGTCCTGGGGGGGGGGGGCATTGTCCGGGGGGAATAGTCCGGGGGGGAATTGTCCTAGAATCGATAGACACGCATCCTTATAAATTCAAGCCAACGAGTACCAATACAACATGCACGTGCAAATAATGTTACCAGAAAAGCATAAGAGTCATGTCTTGTGCATCCTGAGATTTGAAGATTCTTGGGAAACCCTCCTCTCGGCATTAGTCAAGGCGGTGTTAAAGGATAAATCCCAATAAGTCGTGGTAATGATGAAGGTTTTTTCCACCTCTATGCAATATAAACTTACCACGTTAAGCTGGGTATCGGGCCCCTTGGCTCCTTTAAATGGATACAGTGGACTGTTCAGCCCGGTCACATTGGCCCATGGACCCATCAGGTCGTATGACATGACTAGGACATAGTCTAACGTTCTGAAACATGGCGTTAATGCATTATCAAATGCTTTTGAGAATACCTCGACAAAGATCAAGCGAGCGGGGTAATTTTTTCATTGCTTGATATATCTGAAATGTATACCGGTGTCTCCTCCCAATTGTAGTGGATTCATGATATACTTTTATTATTAAAGGATTGGAAAATGAAAATATTACTAATTAATCTCACTTACAATGAATTATGACTTACTTTGAAATCTTCGGAACATCATATGCGTATTTAATGTACTTTAAACCTGCGGCAACTGCTGAAGTTAGCAATAATTTTGTTTTGTTAGAATTCTTTGCTTCTTCTGTATAAGCCGCTTGCAATTCCTGAAACAACGTTAATGACATATCTTGACTTGATATTATTTTAAGTCCCATGTTACGCAGGAATGTATGGTGGACTTTTTGGATAATTATATAGTTTTTTTAACTCATAAAGAACATTTGCTGGAATGAAGGATTGATCATGTATTATCTTTTACCTGCAGAAGTTCAGTAAATGTATTTATATCCGATGGCTTTCCTCCTCTGCTTCCTGGGTATTCCCAATCTAGCAGAAGACCATCAAAAGTTCTGTTCCTCAAAAACTGGATTGACGTCATGACGAACTCTCGCCTGCTTTCCTTAGTTGCCGCCATTTGACTGAATGGCTCAGATTTCATGTTCCAGCCACCCACAGCAAGAAGTGTTTTAAAATTAGGGTTAATCTTCTTAAGGTCATTGAAACGTTCATACCTAGCAAAATATGTTTAAATTCACAACTTATGTTATAATTTTAAACGCTACGGTCCTGATAAATTGTTAGAAAATAACTAAGTTAAAAAGGAAAATTAATAAACCAAGGCGGTTGTTTGTTTCTTAATGACACGATTTTTCGAAAATTTGGAAAAAACAAAATCAACAGCATGTTGTTCAAGTTGAAAGTAAATTGCCGATAACGTTGTTACGCAATTAATAAAATTTATCCATTAGATCTCCCTCTGAAAGTTATCAAATGTCTCACGTGATCCACTTACAGTCCTTTTTTCCAAGGCGTGGAGTCATCGTCCCACTCATAGGGGGCCAGTTGGTTTCCGTTCAGCTTGGCGAAAGCGTAAACGCCGTGCGTGCACAAGTGGGGGTCCACCTGTTCCGGAAAGAACTTCCCCATACCTTGGCGATACTGGGCCCAGTTGGTGAAGAAGCAAAATAATGGCTTGGATGTGGCGGTTGATACTTGAACTGCAATGACATAATGAAAGACTGATCATTTTGTACAAGGAAGTGCTAAATGTAGAAAAAATGTATTTGTAATTAAAACCACATAAACGTTAGCTATTAATAGATGTGCACAATCACTTTCAACGCTGAATAGCTTGTTTTGCATACTTTTAAAAACATAAGTATGTTATTTGAATATTTTCATTATTTATTATTTTATTATAATTATTATTTCAACAATTCCTCAACCTTGTGCAAGCTCACGCATATTGAAATAGCGATTACTATGCATCATTCACACTGATTAGATATTTTAGTGTCTCCTTCCTGTTGCATGGATATTTCCCCTTTCGTTTTAATTTTCAAAAACATTTTACATTTGGTCAATTGAAAATGATATCATTGCAACACATTATTCTTCTCCTTCCTTTTTTTCGTCATAGAAATAAAAACAAAATCTTGAAAACGCACTGAAAATTCAAATTTTGACCTCTTCGTTTCTTCGGTATTTGAAAAATAACATAGTAATTGCAAAATGATGCTTTTAGATAATTAACAAAATCCAAATACCTTCGTTGTTTTCTGTCCCTCGTGTACATTCCAAGGTGACAGCAGCTGTAAGTAGCAGAATGCAAAAACTGCTGTAAGTACTCATGGTGACGCCAGTGCCTCACAAGTCCACAACGGTGACACGAAATGCTATGGAAAAGACAGCAAATGGTATGCGTGCAGCTTCACATAAACACACACACATATATATATATATATATATATATATATATATATATATATATATATATATATATATATATATATGCTGCTATAATAGTTAATCATCTGATAACATGGTATGTTGCGTGGTTGATACTGTGATATGAGAGTACAGATAATCGAATAGTAAAAGTTATGTATGATTATCTGTAATGTCTACAATGCTTTCATATCACTGTATCAAGCAAGCAACTTGCACTATCTTATTTGTCGCGATTTGTGGCAATATATTCATTATTATCTGTTTGAACATATGACAGCATTAACATATTGCCTTGGCATCTGTTTTGATACCCCAACCCCTACCGAGACCCCAATATACCGAGATCTCGATCTTGGAAAAAATGTCATTTACTAGGCCTACTTTGTGCGGATCTCTTGCTTTTGATTCTGCATCACATGGTCCTATACATGCACTGACGCCCAATGTTTGTGTGTGTGACTGTGTTTGTGTTTGTGTTTGTAAGACCACAGGTTGAGAAAAACGCTTTGGGCGCACGGCTGTTGAAGCCTACAATATATATATATATACAAGCAGATTTCAAGTATAGACTAGTAGCGCCTGTGGTACATATGGTATTCTTGACTCTTACTGAGGGGAAAGAATGAGACTTCTGATGGACTGGGAAAAGGAAAAAGACTAACTCTTTACAATGATTAAACATTTTTGAAGAAGGGAGAGTCGATGAAAGGGGAGGGGGTGAGATTCAAAACAACACAAGATCAGGTATAGCACACGAGTTAATCCGTAGATACCGAACTTAATACAATATAGTGAAATATTAATCTGCAATAGACATCTGACATTTAAAGTACCAGAATATTAAGGATTGGGCCTAAATATATATAGTACAAATTGAGTTACATACCGTACCTTGATGAACCTACAGCATTCTGGTTTTGTCTTGTGTTTTGATGAACAGGAGCAGTCAGAAGTGCACAAGATATTCACAGCCTCATTTATCAGCAGTTGACTCACAAGACATCAATTTCCTCCATAAGTATGCGTTTACTATTACTGGCAATGATGCTAATAACTACACGGCGTTGAATTCTACTATTCACTTGCACGGTCACGGGAATAAAGATTAATCACGGTCACAGTGCTATGACTATTGTTTCCAATACACTGACCATACGCATATGCAGGTCAGACAGTATTAACTTGGTGTGGTCAGCCGCTTTCTCAACAGATGTCTATCGCAGCGTCTTAGTCTACTATATAAAAAGCGAAGAGTCATCAGATCTCCCAGGTGTTCATATCATATGTAAATTCATCAGGTCACACAGCAGGAGAAAAAAACCAGTCACATTCGTTCCCATTTCTTATCGTCATGCATCTGATAAATAATGACTTGTCTGTGTCTTTGTTTACTCCGATAGGCCTGTATTCATGATGCTTTCGGAACATTAAGATATTTTTATAAATGTGTGGTGTGAGTTGTACAGATAATACAGAGAAAAACTCCACTGCACATTAAATAGTGAGACAGCTGGTAAATTAGTTGTCTGTAAGCGTGTGTTAGACGTTTTAAATATACATCCAGGCCCAGAAAAGGCCCACTTTTTATCAATATTTGGTCTAGATGTCATTTCCATTGGATCAATTAATTCCATTTTTTTATTAGAAAAAGACCCCCTTGGAAATTGCTTTCATCCTGCTCTAGCGTACTAACTTTACACGGTAGCCGTGACTTGAAAGATGTTCACATGAAACTGTTTTCAAAATTCTTCTGGAAAGAATTCTTCTAATTTCTTAGATGTTGGTGGTTTTCAAAATGTGTATAAGTTTAACTTATTGCAGATTGCTCATTATGTAGGAGTGGAAAATATATTAGAGCTGCGTCTGTAATCCGCTACAGATTTTAAGGTAAATGACATATTTCTTGTAAGATTCTACATCATCTCCGTTTTATTTCCGTACTTATCCTTCGTCATCTCTCTGCACAATAACATGCATTTTATGCCAAAAGCAGCGATTAAGATGCTAAACGTGCCATGAGACCACCATTAAGACAACCAAATGTGACAAAGCAAAATTTGGAGACATTTTGGTTTTGTTTAATGTACATTATACACAGCTCGCTATTGCTAGGACATCGCGATTTAGATTTCGGTTAGAACACAACCTAAAATATAAGTTATAAACTTATATCAGCAGACAACAGTCATCGTAATTTGTTTCATTGATTTCAATTTCTATTTCAATCTTTGCATTATTTCATCGGTTTGTTAGTATATTTTTTTATCATATCACACCAAATACTCTAAAATTATACAAAACAGATATTCTTTTCTTTTTTTAAAACTTAATTTGTTTTGCTGGAAAAAATAAAATAGTTACTAAAGCCAGAAAAGTCAGTTTCTACTCGATTAAGACACTTATATGTTTTCGCAAAGGCTTTTCAGATGCAGACACAAGGTCCATTAATCCGAGTCACCAGTAATAATAAGGTGACGGAGAAAGACATCTTAGTTGTTCGGAAATGTCTCACTTAAAAAGCACAATAAAGTATGAATGACATACGCCCAATAACACAATGACCAACCATTACGACAAATATGCTTCAAAACGTTAAAAAAAATACATTAAAGCATACAATTGCAAACTAAATTGAGTGCCATTAAGAGGGATGCTATAATTTCATCCCATTTGATTCAGAAACGAACATTTTCCCTCTTCTTCCTAAATTAGTAGACCGCAAAACACACTGAAATTTAATGTCTTACACATTTTGGTGACGCGACTGCGTATACTGGGGCTGGCAGGTCCTGTGTGACATTTCTCGCCCGAAGGAAAGTCAATTTGGGGCGAAAGCGTGGGGACATTGGAACGTTTTACACCGGACTGGACATCAAAGCTCGATCCTTGGAGGTCTTTCTCGTGAATCTTGGCACACATTCCGGGAACTGCTTATGAAAGAAAAACGCCATTTCTCTACCGAGATTTAAGCTTACGTGAAAAGTGGACGGTATCGCGTCCCGAAAATGGTTTGAAGACATTTAGATCAACCTTATAGAAGATACGTGAACAACTTGAAAATAAAAGCATTTTCGAATTTTCACATTCGGAGATTGCATTTCAAACATTCTGTGACTGCGCCTATTTCATCCACATTCAAGGCGGAGGAGAGAAGGCCCAGATAAAACTGAAACAACGGACCCGTAGATCTAGAGCAAAAGAAAAGTGACACTGATAGAATAAAATTAAGAATTACAAAATCTAAATTTGAACATCTTTTGCCATTTACCATGGAGAACCAAGAGATGAGTGTCACGATGCAGGAGCGGGTAAAGGCTGCCCTTACGGACCGCCTAGGAATGTTCACCCGCAGTGACGCCCAGAGAGCGCGGTTCATGCAATACTGTGTCTACATCAGTGTAGCTGTCCTGCTGGTACTGTCAGCGATGATGATCATCGTATTTCCCATTGTTTTCGACAGCTTTTATGCCCGTACCGTTTACCCGATTAATCAAGGTAATGGTTATCACGTACAAATTAAATATGTTGGTGTTTGTATTAATTTTGATGGTGTTTAAAGAAAACATAAAAGGAAATATTGCTGATGTTTTACAAATGTCCAAAAATGGTAATTTTTAAGCGTTCTGAGTACTTTCTTACTACCCACCCCCCAAAGAGAAAAGAGAAAAGCTAAACTTCCTTTCCTTTATCTGCGTTTTGAAAGAAAATGTGGGACTACAGCATGTTGAAAATAGTGCCAAAAATTTGCCTACGTTGCTCAGATAGAAATTCTTAAATTTTAAAATATATATACATATATATATAACCCAATCTTTAAAAAACATGGATAACTAATAACTTATCTAAGGTCAGACGGGGCGAGCTTCGTTAAGCTTCGAGACATTCAGATTTAATGTCACCATATAATTTGCATCAACATTAAGCTAACATTAAGTCTATCTTCCTGAGTTAAATGTCTAGTTATATGTTTATTTTTATTCAAGAGCAGGGAATTTTTTATTGAAAAAAAGTTTGAAATGAATTTTAAAGAGAAAGGTTAAAGCATTAAAAAGTATTATGTATCTATTTTCTAATCAGGGTTTTTCTTCACCCACGTAAAACGAATCCCACTTTTTCCATCTATTTTTAAAATATAAATATCCTAGGAAGGCAAGTCAGCGTGTCTGTTACAGGCCTATGAGGACATTCAGAAAATGATGAAATTATATCATAACTATTTGTGGGTTGTACATTTTACTCTTTTCATTCCAGATACTTTAACAGCCACCACAGCGGAAAAGCACGTACCAATAGATAAACAAGAGACAACTGAAATGATCCCGACAACATCAACAGAACTGGAATTGTCAACCGAAGTCGATATAGCAACTACGGAAGGTCAGCCCTCTAAAACAACAGCCAAACCAAAGAAAAAGACAAAAATCCCAAGTACTACTGTTACTACGAGAAAACCAACCACAACAGAGAAAGCCACAACAACAACAACCTCTCCTACAACTACGGTTCCAAAATCGACTACCTCACCTCCATCCACCACCACGACGACCAGAAAGACCACGACCACCCCCCTCAGCCCCACCATCCCCCATTGGTGGCGACTACGCTTGTCGTTCTCGATCCCCCAGCCCTGCAGACGGGGTGCCAAATACCTGCACGTGAATTGCAGGAAGTACCACACCTGTATGACCGACTTTACCCTCCACGAGGCGCAATGCCCGGGCGGAACGATGTTCAACCCGCGGTCTAAAAAGTGTGATCTGGAGAAGTACGTGCACGAGTTCTGCTACAGAGTACGGCTTACGGAGCCCGAGCCGCCTGTGCAGAGGCGAATCATAACAACAACGACCACAGAGGCCCCGGAAACGACAAGTAGGTTTTCTGTCCAGAATTATGGTTTTTCTTTCATAAAAGGTGTTACATTATTTAAATGTCAATCATTCAATCTAACCTAGGATCCCACATATACCTGCGTAAATATGTGTTGAATACATATCGTCAGACCAAGTTTTGTTTGACAAATTCCGATAATAAATAACGATATCCTTATAAGTCATAATAATGATTTTAAAACAAAACTTTTACTAATATTTTAGTGATAGTAATCACTTACTTTGGAACAAAATTATTTGTGAAACAACTACGTTTCATGTCAACTCGTCACAAGAGCATCATCAGGCCGAATGCCAACATGTTGTTTTGATAAACATGTGAACGATTCTCAATCGAGTTAGTAATTGAAATACGTACATTTTCAGCTCCGCCGCCGCTTTTTAACCCACCAATTCCGTGCGAGACGAACAGTTTGTTTCCCCACGTCAACTGTACCCTCTTCTACAAGTGTGGTGACAACGGTTTTCCATCGGTGCTGACCTGTCCCCCTTCAAGCGAACCGGTGATCGGTACCCTCTTCTACAACGAGCGGACCAAGACTTGCGACCAATTCAACAATGTCCAAGAATGCACCATGGGCGCACATAGAACCGTCGCCGTGAACTTGATGAACCAGTTCAACCCCCCATTCCCTTGTAAGAACGGAAAGACTTATCCTCATCCGGACTGCAAAAAGTACTACACCTGTGTGGGAGAAGTTCCCACAGAAAAGACGTGTCTTCAGCAATTCAAAAGAATGCACTTTACGACGAAGGGAGGGGGTTGTGTGGATGCTACCAAAACTTTACTCAGTGGAGAGTGCAATAATTCGGACGAAAGACAAATAGATTTTCGAAAAGGAGACGGTGGCAATAATAACGTTGAAGATACAAAATAAACTTGATATAGGTAATAGAAAGAGCGCAGCGTACAAAACTTATAACTTCCAAATAGATCACTGACAGCTAATTGATTAAAATTTTTAACTACAAATCAAAATTTGGTATGAAGAACTCATGTTGATACCTTTAATTCATCATACAGGTTACAATAAAATTAAATTATGAGTTCGTTTACAAGCATAATGCTGCTGTGAACTTTAATGATAAAACTACATAGTACTGTGCAAAATGTAATATATACAAATATACACAATATCAACAAGCCATTAGACGTTTTTACTTATAGGACTATACCCACACATCAAAAGACATCCAACATGGCAAATTCTGCAGCTTCGTCACAAATTGTTTCTCTGCCACAGACTATGGTTCATCAATAAGAAACTGCATCACCTTCCTCAAACACTGGATAAAGAATATGCATGCTACATGATACTACAAGTCATGACTGGGACACATTTTACATACCATGATGTAATATTTTAAACTGTTATAGACTCTATCAAAGAGGTTCTAAATTCTTTATCTTGTTGTATTTGTCATTGCTGACTTCAAAGCTCCTTTGGTCTTTTCCCCCCCGAGATTCCTTCTGTGGAGAAAGTGAATTTTCTTGAATTTTTCACATCTTGGGCATTGTAACAGCAACATGGCTGATGACGAGTTTTCAGCAAAATGTGTCACCTTTTTCTCCTATAACATAAATGATTATCCATTAAGAAAGAAGTTTAAAACATAGCACAGCATGAAAATAATTGGAATAAAGTCACAACATGTTTTTCAATTTAATTAATGAAAAAAAAAGGATAAGTTATAATACCATGGGGCCACTGCATGAAAAGAAAAAATCCTCCAAAAAGTGAAATAATGCAAATGAATATTTCTTTGTCAAAACATACGGATTTAATCAACATTAGTAACAAGAATTTCAATAAGAACATGTGGGCAATTATAGATTAATTTTAACAGCCTCAAAAGCAAATCTGCAGTAAAATATAGACATTTACACTTTTGTTTGTGTAGATCAGTTAATTAGTAGGAAACAAGGATTACTTTTTCTTTGGTCTAGACCTCCCAGGGCCTGAGGGAGGACTCATGATATCTGAACCTGCTGCAGAAGAGTCCTCCAAACTGTCATCTGCTTCAATGTGACCACCTGGTGTGTGTGGGTTGTCATCAGGATGCTGGGAGTCTGAGTCATCCAACACAATAGGCCTAGGTGATAATTATAAAGAATTTCTTGAGCAAGACAAAAAAAAGTTGTATTATAATTTTGCATATAAATTCATCATAATTTCAATATTCAAAGTATTCTTTTTAGTGCCATATCAGTAAAATTACACAAAAATAAAAAATAAATTTAAAATCTCATGGAGCACTGCTAATTCTCTACACCACTGCATGTCTTTTCATATATTATCAAATTCTTATCATCATGCACTGCTGGATAGAAATGACATTTTCTTTATTTCTAAAGATACACACTTTATATCTGACGGCTCAGACTTGATATTTTGGGTCCACTTTCCTTCCTCTTCTTGATGAAGACTCCCTGTTTCATCTGCTTGGTCTGAGCTAGTGTCCAGTGAATGAAAGCCTGAGAAATACACAAACATGATACATTGTTTAGCACACCACTGTAACAGCTACAGATAATGCAACGATTCAACTATATTAATGAACACACCTGTAATATTAGATAAAAGATATTTTGTACCCAGAGACTGGTGTACATGATATCTTTAAAAAAATGCTTGAGATTTTTATAGTTTCACTAAATAAAATGTAAAGGCATTTATAGCTTAAAACACATACTTTCTAACTGCAGAGGCTGATCAGACTCCGTGTTATCATCTGACTCTGGTTCTGAGGATGGAAAGTGAATGTCAGCAAAGGATTCATCCTTTACCCTAAAATGCACAAGAAAGTATGTGAAACACAAGTGATAAAATTTGAACAGATGCAATAAAAACTGCCAATTTGTATGTGAAAACATAAGTCCACTGTCAAGTGAAACATAGTTTCTTTTACAAATAATTACTATTTACTAGCAATTGTATGCATGTGGATGAGAATAAATGTACCCCAGTATGTGTATGCCTGCATGCACTCAAAGAATGGGCATGCAAGCAAACTGTCATTTGTGTAAGCACAAATGTACTTGTATATATGCTTTCACATCTGTGGAACTCACTTTGTTTTTTCCTCTTCCCCAATCTCTGAATCTGTAATAGGCTGCTTTACTTTCTCATAATCCTCTGTTAACTGCTGGCAAACCAGTAGCATATTGTTGTGATAATTGACCACCCGTGTCTGGTAGAATTCATGAAGGTTGCTTATACTTCCTATGCCAACTTCAAAAAACACTTGCTGAATAATATCCTTAAAGAGATCATAAAATAAGAAAAAGTGTTACAGTTTTCACTTTGTAGAAATCTATCTAATATTCTACATGGGGCATTGAACCATAAAAGTGGCTTATATTTTTATTTTTGTTTGCAGAATTCCTTTTTTTCTTAAATTATGCTCAAAATGCATACTGGCACTGAACTGATATCATTATAAAAAACTCAGAGTTTAACTTTTAGCATGCTATTGCAAAAGACCATAATATATTATCTTTTTTACCAGTATCTCCACAACAAGACAGTAAATAACAGTGCACTAAAACAGATAAAACAGTACAAAAAAAACCCCACCATACCTGAAAGCCTGTGTAGCCATGCAAACACTCATTGTCTTTTGATGTCCGTAGCAGTTTAGTTAGTCTGGTCACATAGTCATGGCTTACATCTGTCAATGTTTCCAGGACTGACTCTGGACAAGCTGAAATAACAATATAACTAGCTTAGGGTCTAAACCTAATAGAACCTGCAATAGAAATGGTCTTGGTTTGCAAAATGTCTCGAGAAAAGAAAGTAGAAAACCAGGGTTAACCAGAGTTACTATTCATCTTAATTAATTAATTAATAATAATAAATAATTGATTAAACTATTTATCTATTTTTATTTTTCTTCTTTCTTTTTCTTTTTTTTTTTTTTTTTTTTTGCTTTTTTCTCTTTTTTTCTCTTTTTTTTTTTTTAAAGGAAAAGTTCTGGTTGGTCTACATTTGTTAGTGTAATCCCAATGATCATATAAGCCTTTTCTTACTATAACATTTCATTTATATGACTGCAGTTCATCAATCTTCTCAGCATCAATAGGTATTTTACAATTACAATAAGTCATTTTAAAAATCTGTTTGATTTAATATTTGTATTTATCAAGTTAATTTACAATAATTAACATTATATCACTTTCATATCCTGCATGTGCACAAATTGCTGCCACTGAATTTCTTAACAGCATCCGACATGTCATGCTGTCAATTTCTAATGGAGCATTGCCTATTCCCCTTGAAAAATCACTGAAAAAAAAGAAAGCAAAAAATATCAGGACATGAATCAAATGAAAGAATGGACAAATTAAAATACTGTACTGTCCAAATCAAAACTTGTTGCTTTTTTTTTGGTGGCATTTTCATCTCACATTAAATAATACATTCAATCTTGATCTAAACACAAACTTCTAAAAACATTTCCATCTATAAAAGATAAATTACTTTGGCTTAAAAGGATTAAATACATTTATTCCTCTTTAGTTAAAACATTCATATGCTTGGTTAAAATACCGCTTTGAGGCAAAACATCTTTTTCTTTAGTACAACTCATCATCATAGTGGGGGAATGCCACAATTTTACACTGATGATCATAACATTAGGCTTAACTACTAAGAGCACATAGCGTACACAGTTTGTGTCCAGGTGTTACATGATTTTAGCCTTCTTAGTTGATGTTGGCATTTTTCTTCTTTTGATTTATGATAAATCCTGAACACATTCTTGATAAACTGGCAACAAAATCATCAAACATTAAGATTTCTGCAGCCATTTGGTATGTTATCTTAATAATGTACATCACCTTGAGCATTTAGCAAAAACTGTACATGCTACCATGAGGGGATCTATCTCACCTTTCTGTATCTTTAGGAAGAAATGGCAGGGGAGTGTTGCCATTGTCTTTTCTGTGACAGCCAAAGCTATCACAATCTGGCACCGGTGATGGGCTGGGGAAACTGATACCTTCTAATTCTGCTGGGCTCTGAAATAGTGTGGTATTTAAATGTCACTTCAAAATTTATCAGCATTCAATCATGCCATTCACAAGTGAAAAGACTTTTTTTTTTTGGGGGGGGGGGGGGCATCTGGAAACATCTTAAGCCTTCCTTCACCTGAACATTTGTGCACAGTTTTAATAAATTTAGATCTTACATCATAAATCATAGAAATTTACCATACTATCTCTCTGTTGCTGTATGGATACTGTCATAATCTTGAGTCTCTTTGCATGCTGAAGTAAGCGTATCGTATGAACCATCAAAGGATCAATAGCAAACTGCTCCGCTGGAAGTGGACTAAAATTAAAAAATATAGAAAATGTTAGACAAATTATATTTTGCAGGATATACACATTTGGTAAAAATGTCACTTTTTTATTAATGTGAGCTGTGTTTTGTAAAAAAAAAAAAGTCAAGAAAAATCAACATTTTTTTCAAAATTGAATAACACTAAGTTCTGACATAAGGTTTCAACAGAATGTATGTTGAATGCATACTATGGACTCAGTTAAAACCATATAACATGAGTGTACTAGTAAAGCTACATCAACATACTCGCTGGTTGGTGGATAATGCCTGGCTGAAGGCTGATGAAGCCTGGGACCTTCTACTTCCATGGGTCTAGGTTTTGTCATTTGTTCCCTCTCAATGGCTGCTATTCCTGGGTCCGTATCTGGGAGGCTTGGCATTTCTCCCCAGTGAGATGCCATCATTTCTACTTATTGCCTCGCAATATAACCTAAAATCTAATGGACGAGTAGAAAAAGCATACAACGTTAATTATGGGCAAAGTTGAAACCAAGAACACACTAGATGAAATGCACAAATATTGGGTTGAAATAAAAACATAAGCTCACCTGTATGTAGCAGTCAAGTTTAAACTTTCAAAAAAACCGGAGGCCGTTTAAATAATCATTATGCACTCAATCAACAGACAACGCTCGAAACCTGGCGAACTGTCAAGGGAGCAGCCATTACATAGCAATCACGCACTGACAAATCTGAGCAAAATAAAATCATTATCAATAGATAATAACCATCAAGCACGTTATGAATAATCTAAATAAAATTATTTTAAGAACCATCTTGAACGTAAGACACAAATTTACGATTGTATTTTTTTTTTTCGTATACATATTCACTGCGGAATATTGTTGCCTAGATACAGCACACTAGCGCAGCCATTTTGGAAAATGATTTTGATATGGAAGTCGATTGTCACTTGAATATACGGGCATATCTGCCTAATTTTAATATCATCGTGCGTTAAACATTGAAAAAAGGTAGGTTCCATCTTTAACTTTACTTGGACTTTTGAAGTGTAATCTTAAGAGCTCACTTTGTGCAGTTCGTACGTTTAAGGGAACGCACTACACGTATATGAATTTGATAATATTTGACTGACGTGTCAATTTAATTTGACTAAAATCCCTTCAGGTTGGATCTTTTTGGAATGTTCCATTATATGATACATTCCATTCCATTATGCCTCTATCTCCTCAGGGGAGCAAAGGGCCGCAACAACACTCCTCCAACGGAGTTATGATACAGCAAACTTTTAATCTTTTTTTAGTTTGACAAGTACAGTAGTAGTAGACCCGAAACTTTGAAGTAAGTTGAAAGGTGTCCATTAAGTGTTTAATTTCTGATAAAAATTGACAATTTTATTGAAATTTTAAGTGTCACTTCACCATATTTTCCTGCCAAAATGAATTGTTAGAGATTGTTATGTGTTTGAAATCTCTCACAGTCATGTTCATGTCCGGTTCTTCTTATATTTCCTAATTCAGACTCTAGAGACAATAAAACCCTTTACATAAAAGGAGGGTGCCAGTACTTCATGTTGTTATTATCTTCTCAGCCTCCTTGGCTGGCCACTGCCAGCCTGGTATATCTGTATAAATGGAATATAGATCAAATCCATATACAGGGATAGGTCAAGCAATTATTCACGGGTAGGACAAAATTGCTCTTTTCCTAGGAAAATTCAATTTGGCAGGAAAATCCTGTGGATGGCCCTTTAACCATGATGCATTTTTAGAAGGCCCATTAAAACTTTTTTATTATGAATTAGGCAACAATTTTGCACAGTTATGACACAAACTTGATTGAATGACCAGTAAATTAACATATGGACTGATAAAAAATTTTAAAAATTACCTAGTATTTTATAGAGTTACAACCGCCATTACTGGAGCCATCTATTTTTCTTTTCATTTTGTTACTATTTAATTTTTTTTAGATAAATAAGAAATAAAAAAACTAAAGATGACTACAGCTCTACCGGCTATCCGCCAGCATTCTGGCAAAATGGGTCAGCAGAACATGCAGCAGCACCACATGCCCAGCCCCCCTGTTACTGCCAGGTCTCCTTCCATGAGCACAAAGAGCTACTTGAAGCCTATGCGCAGGTCTCTAGGCAAGAAGGAGAAAGAGATGTTGATGAGACAAGCAGCGCTTCGCTCGCAGCAACCTGAACTGACCAAAAGGGAAACAGCAGCGTGAGTGACATATTTAAGGAATAAGATATGTCATAATGATCAGTTTTTGAAATGATGCAGTGTTTACTATAACTTTTCTATGATTTGAGTGATTGACCAGGCAATTAAAGTATGTATCTTGTGTAACAATATAGATTGTTCTAAGGTTACACATTTTATGGTGGAGCACAGATTTGGTGCATAGCAAACAGCTCAAAAAGTAAAAATTTGCCCAACCTGGCAATTAAGGTTTTACAGTTTCAGTATTTGACAGACCAAATTTGTTCTGGCATTGACTAGGTAATTTATCCTATTACAGCTACAACCTGATGTTCATTTTGTACATTGGATTGTCAAATAAAAAAAAAGTTAAACAAATTTAACACTTTATTTTTTCATAAATTGATGTCAGTATCAGCCACTGTAAAGTAAATAAAATATTTTGTTTCTTTCACCAGGTACCGTAATACCTATATGCACAACCTGTGCCTGGACATGCTGCAGGAAGGCTTCCATAGGTCCTTCTCTGAACTGTTTGCACTGGTCAAGCGCCAGTACTCTGAGAGAGAGGCAGCAGGGCCAGAGTCCATGATGTGGACACAGATGATGTTAGACGAGGAACATGAGAAATTAGAAATGCTTAAAGTTTTCCTTACAAGAGCTGAGGCTGCCCTTAGAAAAGGTGAGTTTTACACCATATGCCAAACCCAGGAAGTTTTGGGAGAGAAGAGGCTTTATCATGATGAAATCCCCCTGCAAGACTTAATTTGTGCATATTTTATATCACGGATACATCTATTTTGTGTATGCATATAGGCACATGCTTTTTTTTTTTTTGCATCATGATATCAATGCTACCATTAAATACATAGATCTGTATATTTTGCTGGATATACTATCAAAACACATGTATGCAACACTTATGAAAAGACATTCATGTCTGCCATTCCAGATGACTATGAGGAAGTGTACAATGCTCGGTATCAGCTGGCCAAGTATTTCCAGAGCACAGGAGACAAGTGGCTGTCAGATCATTTCTACACCACGTGTCTGGACACCAGTGGCTCCATCAAGGCTAATGTGAGGTTCCAGGCTGAGGCACACTGTAATGTGGGACTGGCTTTGGAAGAGAGTGGTAAGATAGGGCATTAGTCATCCTGTTTTGTCTTTTTGATTTATGTTAATGAGATACATTGGTCTGAAATGTTACACTTTACTTTAATGGTATCATTTCATGTCCAGGTAAATATTTCATTTGTCTTATATCGGTAATATAAATCTGACTTTTACTATTATACGTCTCTTTGTGAATGGGAAATATTGCTTTGTTTAATTACTTTTGAAAGATGAGATGATATGGAACATGTAGTAATACACCATGACATCCTTTTCCAGGTGATTACTTCAATTCAGCAGAACAGTTAGAGAACTTCCACACCCATGCCTCAGAACACAAGGATTGGGTCACCAATGAGGGGGTCACACTGCACGCTGTGTCCTGTAACCATCTCATGAGGGTGTACACAACTATTGGGAACAAACTGGAGGCTAACAAAGAGCAGGAGGCCTCTCTGTCTTATTTTGTGAAAGCTTACAATATGGCTGTGGAAGGTGAGTAAAAGGGGGTATCAGGTAGATGGCAAGTTATGGGGCAATATAATAATCAGAAAATAAAAAAAAGCTTACATTTTGCTGTAATTCTGTAATTTAAATTTGAAGTTATAGGTTTGGACTTTATATTATGCTTAATTCTCTCTAGTCATTATCATTGTGTTACTTATTATGTTCACGTCTGTCACCTGTGCCAGTGACTTATTTTTGAAAGTAGTGTTATTTCAGGGTATAGGGCTATACTGTTTAACTGTTAGAGAATTTTCATTCATAACGGCAAGTTGGTGAGATGAAAAGAGTTTTGTAGCTCTAATTGTTTACAATTCTGATATTCTTTCTCTGCAGGTGGTGACCTAAAACTCAAAGGAGAGTCCAGCTACAGATTGGGGCTTGCATATGAAAAGGCAAAAGATTCTGAAACTGCTCTTTTGGTAAGGACCATCAGATATATGTTTGCCAGACTGCTTTACAATACACAAATTCAGATTTGAAGTTAACATAGTCTATTAAGTTGGTTTATTATTTATTTGATAATTTTAGGAAAAGAAGTTAAGTCAGTCAGCACTGACTTTCTTTTTCACATCGGAAAAAGAATTTTAGACAAATTCACAAGTCCAGTAGGTTAATGTTCAACTCCTTCTCATAGTTATTATTAATTGATACAAGAGGTGTATTAAGTGTACTTTATTTCATTACAGTATCTGAATGACTTCTTGGAGACCTGCAAGCAACTGAATGATGATGTTGGTATTGGCCAAGCATGTGAGGCCATTGCAAAGTCTTATGAAAGGTACTTTATATTTTTTAATCTTATGGTCAATTGATTGGTTGATCAATTAATGGAAATCATCCGAGATGGCCCTAAGACCTGTTACTTAACATGAAATCAAGAGAGATTTCGCATTATGTGAAGGAAATTGGGGTCAGACTAGTGAATGACAATGCATAAAAACTGACAGCATTTATCCATGGATATATTTCTGGTTGTTTTTTCTAAAGTAATGTTAAATTACACTTTATGAAACAACAGTATGAATAAACCATGCTTTGCATGACAATTTTGTATTTCTTTCTAAGAGTATATTCCTAGCACATAAAATTTCACCCTTATCACTAAAAAACTTCACCTCACTCTTGCACATTTTCTAATCTAGTATGACATGCAGTCCTGACAGCCTTGTTTTAGGCTATCTTGGATGATTTCCATTGGATCAGAAATACCATCAAATAATATATATATTATTGTATGTTTATTATTATATTATTATCACAACCGCCATAATTATTGAAGAAATGGCTGAATTTTCAAATGCATCATATTCTGTAAAAAGATATATGGTTAGTGTGGTAAACAGCTGATAGGATGTCTAGAGATGTTGGCAGATTAAGTTATTTAATGTATTACACTCGGTCATTGCTATGTGGAGGTAATGATGGCATTGTGTTGCTATACTTTCAGTCTTGGAAAAATCAATGAAAGCATCCGCTATTTGGAGCAGTTCTGTGAGGTTGCTGAGAGGAGTAAGCAAGAGAAGGCTTATAGCAAGGCTTGCAGCAATTTGGGAGCTGTTTTCAATTCACTGGTGAGTTTTGAAAATATTATGTGCAGACTCTCTGTTACACGGACCCTCAGTTTCATCACAATTTTGAAAATTTTAGTGTTTTTCTTACTTTTTAGTGAGTGGATCAGTGACTGAGATGGCCCATAGATAAACATTGTTACTGTTCTTTGGTGAATATGTGTAATTAATGATGTCAAATGTGCTTGGTATCAGGTTTAAAGCTGTCTATGATGTATGTTTATATCTGAACATTTTCATGTTTGAACTTATTCTGAAAAAGGATTAACAAAAATACAGTTCCAATAATTAATGGTTTTGATTATCTTTAATTTTATTTAAAAAATTAATCATGTGTGTGTTTACAGGGCAAATATGACAAAGCCACAGAATACTTCAGCAAGGCCTACAACCTCTCCAGAGCCCTTAATGACCAGGAGTCCATCAAGACGTCCAGGGTCCATTACGGTGTTGCAATGGCCCACAACATGATGCAGGGTTTCTGTAACCACCTGATTACCCCCACCAAGCCTAGCATGGAGAGACAGGTGGAGTGGAAGAGCACCAGGGTGGATGAGTTCAGCAAGGAGATACCTCAGGAGAAACAGGGTATGTTTTTACAGGCATTCTTGTCTTTAGGATTTCATGAAATGAAAATATGAAGTGTATTGACATGACTGAAACCACTGATTTTGTTTTTAGTCATACATAATATTTTGTTGACATATTTGCAAGGATGTAGACTTCCTTTAACGTTATGATGATTTGGCTCCTTTCTTCATATTTCATTTCCATTACTACATAAGACATAAGAAAGCCAACCATATTGTTTTATAAAGCATGAATTTTTTTTTTTTTTTTTTTTTTTTTTTTTTTTGAGACATTTTTGTTGATAAATAAATGATCATATATTTTATTATTTTTAATATATATCAATTTGTTAACCTATTTACAGAGCAAGAGCAATTGAGCACAACCCCAGCATCCCACCAAACACAATCTGAGCCTGCTTCCAGGGAGGTGTCCAACATGGAGCCAGCAGCAGCAGGAACGGCAGCCACAGAGACTGCACCAGCCACTGAGGGTGAGGGTGCCCCAAGTCAAGGCAAGGTAGAACAGGCTACAGAGAACCAAGAACCAGCAGACAGCCAAGCACCTGCAGAAAGCTGAACCCATGAAACCATGTAATGAACTGCTCTTGTAACTAGTATATTAACGGTTCTCTGGTCTGAATGAAGGGAAGAGACAGACTTGAGTGAAAACAATAGACGGATCAATCCATATGAAAAAGACATCTTGATAAACATTGAAATCCATTCTGTGATAGGTATTGAGTATAATGAAGGAAAGTGAGAAGGGAAAGTAACATCAGTTTTGTGACGTGTTTGGAGAGAATTTTGTTTGATGGCTAAAATTCTAGGTCTACAGACAGTCATACCATCCGTCCAGATTATAGTTTGATTAACCTGCATATGCCAAATTTCACCATGAATGATTCTCTCCAAAATAAAGGTCGATTATATTCTTATTGAACTAGTGTATATAAAATATAGTTTATTTTTTGTCTGTTATTTCAGTGTTATTTAGATTTATAGTTTAGCATTTTATTGACTCATTCATAAAGCATTACTTTCTGTATAATGCTTATTTCATGTAGGAAAGATATTCCTCACTTTTGAGTGCAGACTTCTTTGCAATAAGTAAAATGTTACACATGCTGAAAAACCCTTTTATGTTCATACCTACATGTTGCGCATTAAAATTGCCCAGAAGAACATTATACAGAAATGAAGTAGTAAAAAAGTGGGCTAATTGTGTGACAATTTGTAAATAAAGTCTTTAGAATTATTATTCTGTGTAAAAGTTTTAATTTAGTTATTATTCTTCCAACATTTAAATCTGGGTTCTCAAGAAATAAGCTGCCCAAATGATAAATACATGCAAAAATAATGAAAACAATTCAACAATCTTTTCCATTAGTTTTATTCTATTCTGTAAAATTGGTAAAACCATACATTGTGTTAGAATTCTGTTTCACACAACAGAAAAAATATTCAGTTCAGAAGTACATAAGCCTGTAAAATCAGAAGTCTCATAACACTGGCTGTTTACTTGGCCACTGTATTCAGCCAGATATTACAAATGCAACTTCTCTTAACAAAAAGGAACCAACTCCACCCTGGGCCTGCCCAACCAGACCAAAAAATACGTTCAGCATGTCCACAATTGCAACAGTAGAGACAAATCACAACCATCACAATTGTCACTCTAGTTTGAAACATCAGGTATGCACTGAAGACTTCTGCCACATTTCAGTTGGAAATCTTCACAGTTACAAGAATCCCTCTTTAAACATGACTGTTAAGAAGAAGGAAATGTCACCGTCAATCAAGTCAACTTTCCAACAGTAAGGTGACAGGAAGCCTACCCATCACGGTGAAATCACTTCATATGTGCTAAAAACAACATCTGTTTCCACATCTAAAGGTCTGGTTACTTTAAACATTCAGTCATCAGTGTATGTTCAAATTCAAAATGTTCAGAATTAATTCTGTGGTTTCAATGCATCCAGGACTTTCCCAATGTCCCCATTCTTGGACTCAAGGAGGTGAGTGAGCCAGCCGCCATCATCTGAGAACCCCATCTGTTTCATCTGGACCAAGGCATCTGCCACCTTAAGGTTGGGATGAGGTGGTGTCTGTGAGAGTTGGGGATAGAGAGGCTGCTGGCCTTGCTGATTGGCTCCACTTGGCCCTGGTTGACCATCAATAACTGTCCATCCATTCTCTGTATCACTGCCCTGCTTTTGGTCTGGTGCAGCATCCTACGAGGGAAACAATTGAAGAATGTTCTTTAGAATAACTGATACAACAACTCATATGCTGGAAGGGACACTAAGTTTAGCACATATCTAAACAATCAGCCAAACACCCTGAGTACTGTATAAAGCACAATTCAATAATAAAATGTAGTAATAATAATAATGGCATATCCTTTATATATATTCAGTATTCCAGAGTTCTAAATAAGCACACCAGTGGTCATTTTTTCACCAATTTTAACCAGTAAGAAACAAATGGCTTCTCACCTGCATAGGTTCATCCAAAGGAGGGGCAGAACTGACAACAGGGGCTTTACTGGCATCTGTAAGCTCCCCAGTATCTTCCTCCATTGCTGTGGCCTTTTCACCTTCCTTTGGTCCTTGATCCTTGCTTGTTGTTGTTGAAGCTTGACTCTGACCCTGGTTCTGACCTTGACCCTGACCTTGGGTCTGATACGGTGGCGCCCCGCCCCACATTGCGAACTGTTGCCACCAAGGCACCCAGTTTCCATCTCTGCATCTTTGTCGCTTTCCCTTGTGCTCCACATCAACTTCTACATCTATGCCTATGTGTAAAATAAAACATTTTATTTCCTTACTGGAATTTTTTAGGAAGTATAATTATTAAACACAAGCTATCTAAACATTCTAGGACCTGCTATGTGTCCTAGACATAACCAAACCATTTTTAGAAAACGTAAAGAAGCTGGAAGATCCTGAAATCAATGTTACAATAAGTATTCTTCAGCATGAACAATTTTAATGATTAATACAGCTTATTTCAGTATATCTTGACAGTCTAACTTCTCACCAAGAGGATCCAGCATGGCAGCCACACTTTCTCCAACACTCTTCAGAAAATCTCCTGGAGCACCGTTGGCATTCTGCTGTCCTCCCTCTGCACTTCCGGCTGCTGTAGCACCCTCCTCGGGTGGCTGCCCATTAGGCTCTTCCTGCTGCTGCTGTTCTCCCTCTCCCTGCTGCTTTTGCTGCTGATTCATCATGTTGTGGAGCCATGCTTTCTTGAAACATTTTTTCATCCACTTTGGGGGTCCATTGCCCTTGTGCCCACCCCAGGGCATTTCACATGACCCACAGCTCACACGAGGGCCCCTGGGACCATGACCTCTCCATGGGCCAGGTCCACCATGACGACCACCCTGGTTATATGGTGGTGGTGGCGGGAAAAAACCACCCTGAAAAGAAATATGCATTATGGCAGATGATCATGCAGATTTCATTCAGAAACAAGGATTGGCTGCAGAAAGATTTCTAGAGATATACATCTTAATCATCATTCACCTTTTGATAAACAGACAGCTCCAGCTAAATTAAACTATTACACTAAAATTCTGATATTACACAGAAATCAAATGCACAATAAGAAAAAAAAAAGAACACCACATGATTTCATTTAAATTAAGAAATAACCATAAAATCCTTGAAACAAACTATAAAGAAAACTTTACTGTGCATTTAAAAAACTTACCATGAAAGGTCCATGGCATCCTGGCTGAGCAATGCGCACCATGTCATGCTCTGTGTGGAGGCCCTTGCCCTCACAGTTGCCACACAGGTCATAGTCTGGGCAGATCATACACTTAAATCTGGGTCCATAGATCTGGCCTTCACAGCCATCACAAACTACACCGGGATGGTGGACCTTTTCATAACCCTCTTCTTCTTGTGGCTGTTGCTTAGGGGCACCTGTCTCTGAAATAATTAGGTTTCCTTGAATTGAAATGTCATCTCAAAATTGTTAGAAATATGCTAATTTGCAGATGCACCTTAGGTGTGATCATAAATTTTAGGAAAAAATACTTGGATTGACAGGGCCGTAGCAATAGTCCGAAGGTTCAATAGTCCAATGAACCCTTGATTAAAAAAAAACGATGAAAATGTTACTGTTTTTCAGACCAATGAATCTTCGGACTATCGAGACGCACCCGGATTGACATCTTAAAAGAGAAAAGTCTACCAAGCAACTAAAAAAAAAGACTTAATTATTTTCATTTTATTTGTTTACATATAAAGCTTTGCAATGAAGGCAAGCTCTTTCGTAATCCTACATACACTGATCCACCTGAGGCTGACTCATCAAATTAAGACCATGTCACAATGTAAACAAATGTATTCAAGATGGCGGAGTTCAATTTGGGAATGTCATTCAGTGCCAAGGGTACACATATTTTCCATAATGGCAAATCAACTTATTTCATTTTTATATTTTCATTACAGAAATTTCTTTTAGGCTTCTCTCCACACACAATTTCTTTTCAACTAACCTGTAATGTAGACCTTGAAGATATCTCCCTGGATCTGCCCCAGAGCCTCTGTTAGCTCATCATCACTGGAAAATGCAATGTTGTCTCCCTCCACATCTACAATACATAATAAGCACTGTTTGTATTATTTCATGATGCATTTTAGCCTTTAAATTATTGGCTTCATTAAGGATATTTCGGACCAGTGAGAAATAAGAACATATTTCTTAATTTGCTATGTATACTTGTACATTGTATCCCTCTCTACATTAATTATACCTACACAGTATGACAACTTCGTGTTAAAAAAGCTAAAACAGAAATGTGTCTGTATCTAACGCTAAAAAAGCTTGTCATCCTATTTTTTTTTTTTTTTTTTTTTACTACTGGACTCTTTTTTTTTTTTTTTTTTTTTTT